GTCTTAATTTTTATTTTTTGTGACAGGAAACCTGTTAGAATATGATGTAAGTGGTATCTCAAATCACTAGAGAAAAGATGGAGTTATTATTAAGTCATAAAGATGGAAAAAGATAAAATCGGATCAATTTCTTATATCATACACCAGGATAAATTCCAAATTGGTCAGTTTTTTAAATATCAAAAAAAAGAAACATATAAATACTAGAAGAAAATATGAATGAATTTCTCTACAAGAGAAGAAAAAGTTTTGCTAGCTAAGTTGCTTGAATTGCTTCAAAAATGCAGAAGCAATTAAAGATTGATTAAACTGACAACATAAAAGTAAACTTTTACATGACAAAAAGCACCATAAGGAAAATAAAACTACAAATGACAAGCAGAAAAAAATTTGTGACAAGCAGAAAAAAATTTTCAATTTATATCTCAATGGATTAATAAATCTAATAAATAAAGAGCTTGTAAAAACAGTGTGTTATGGACTTAATACTAACCCTTTAGAAAAAATTGGCATGAGATAAGAGCAATTAACACAAAGATAAATGTAAATAGCCCTTAACATATGAAAATATACTCAAACTAACCCATAATAACAGAATCCCAAGTCAAAACTACACTGAGCTAACAACTACCATCCCTCCATCATATTGGCAAAAAGCCAAAAGTTTGCCAACATGCTCTATAAGCAAAGCTGTGGAAAAATAAACATGTATATACATTGCTGATGGAGGTGCAAAATTTTACACCTCCGAGGAGGGGAACTTGGCAATACCTACCAAAATTATATATGTATTTAACCTTTGATCCAGAAGTTCCACTTCTATAATTCTTGTTACATCATTACTGTGGAAACAACCCAAATATCCATAATAGATTGATTGAATAGAGTATATACACACCATGGAATAATATACAGCTGTTTAAAAAATGAGGAAAATCTCTAGATGATGTTATGGAGTGACCTTCAGGATATATTCAGTGAAAAAAGGAAGGTGGGAAAAAGTGTGCTTAGTATGCTACCATTTATCCAACAAAGGAGGTTGATATGAATACGTAACTGTTCGTTTCTATTTTCAAGAGAAGACTAAATCTTTAAAAAATTAACATTTACTTTTAAGAGAGAACAGTGTAGAGGGAACAAGTTAGAATATATTTTGAATTTGGAATCATAAACATTTAGCATTGTCATAAAATTAAATTTAAAAATTGTTAAGCAATTCTAAAATTCAAAAGCAAAGTGAAATAAATGTGCCTAACTAGTATTGACTGGGTGACATAACCACACAGAAAGGAATTATTTCAAATGACTTTAAAACACAGTAATTTGACTGTACATCCCTCGTGCATATATCCTAAAATCAAAATGAACTATAAAAAATCTTAAACTGTTTTCAGTAGTCATTATTAATATTACAGTATGGTTATTCTGAATTTCTTTTGTATTATAGAACAAAGCATGTAAGTAACTATACTAGTGTTATTAGGAATAAGATTTTTACTGTAGGAAAAATGACATACAATTATAAAAATGAAAGAAGTTAATAAACTCCTGTAATTCTAAATTTGAATTGAAAAATATCAGTGATCTCATGATGTGTTTTCTCTTTAAAAAATAAAAGAAATATTTTCTAACTTTGTGCATTTTTTAATGTACAAAGTTTAAAAATGTATGAAGTTAGTTAATGAGCCCTACATTTTTTAGGGCTCAAAACAATGACCAACCCAGTACCAGTGAGCAACTAGCCCCCACCAGGGGTGGAGAAACTGCAGCCTTCTGATTTCAAGATTGGTCTTTTTTAAGCACCAAAGGAGGCAAGAAAATCTTCATATTTCTCTACTGTACCCCTTTTAATAAATGAATTTGTTCTGTAAAATTTGGATTCAGTCAAAAGGCTGCACTTAAGGACAAAGAAGGAAATGTGTGGCCTTAGGCCACATGTTCCCCACCCCTGCAGGAGAACTAGCTAATTCCATGAACTGGGAAGGAAATATACAAGATAAGGCTGAAAATTTTGCCATACCAGAAAACAAGGAAGCTATCAAAGAGTATTAGAGGTGTTTCCAAAGGACTGAGGAGCATCTGAGCACCTGAATAAGTTCCCACTGACCAAATTAGACCATCAATAAAAATAGTAAATGCAATGGATTCTAATTCATCAAATTTGTTAAATACTCATGAGTTCATAATGATTTAAAAAAAAAAATACCAACACTCATTGGGCCACTTTGAATGAATCTTAGGAAACCAACTGATTATTCTAAAAACTGGTAAATAAAGGGGAGGAATCAAACATTTAACCTTCCTTCTCTCTAAGAACTCTACTTCAGAGTAACCAAATAGTTGATGAGGGTAAGGTTTTTCTTTAATGAGTACTCCAGAAAATAAAGTAGTTATCAAATAAGAGCACTACCATTTACATCTCCTATAGAAATAATTTAAGCAATGATCAAGGGGACCATAAAAATTATAAAAAGAGAGATAATCAGATATTAAAAATCTCCTGACAGAATTATATAGCACTACCAATACCAATCAAGTGTTCTTGCTTAAAGAAAAAATCAAACCCGAATCAAATCAAAATTGTAGATCTAATTACCAGTCTACAGGAAATTCAAAGGCAGAGGAACTTGTTAAAAGCCACCATGGGAATAGAGTTAGAAATAATCTAAACTGTGGAAAAGACCAAAGGAAAAAATGACCCAGTTTCATCAACAAATAAATTGCAAGGAAAAAATGAGGGGTTGGGGAGTTTTCCATTAAAAGAGATTTAGAAGACATAACAAAGGGCTGTGTGTGCCTGTTTTTTGGGTCCTGGTTTGAACCAACAATAAATAAATAAATACATTAGACAATGGAGGGAAGTTGGATAGTACACTGGATAGTTAATGATACAGAGGAATTATTGCCAGTATTTTTAGGTAGGATAATGATGTTGTGGTTATATTTTAAAAGAGTCTTCATATTTTAGAGATACATACTGAAATAAATATTGGTAGATAAAATAATTCAGTGCCTGGGGTTGGCTTGAAAATAATCAGAAGAAGTGTTATAGATAAAATAAGATAAATCATGAACTGATAATTTGAATCTAGGTAATGTGCACATGGAGGTTTGTTATACTATTCTCCTTTCTAAGTTTGAAATTTTTCATTATGAAAAGTTAAAAGAAATTTGTTTAAATGTAAATACCTCTTACCTGCTAATTATTATTGATGGTAAAAATAAATAAATACATAAATGTAAACTTAAACAGTTCTGTAAAGGATAGATCTCTCAT